AGAGTGAGACCCTGTCTCAAAAAAAAAAAAAAAAGAAAGAAAATTAGGAGTTCAAGCTCCAAATCTCTTACTCTTTCCTGTACATCCATATTGATTATTGATCACTTCCTTAAACCCTGCTAGGATGCAAGAGAAATATAAAACTTTTGGAAAGTTTTATAGGTACTAAGATAAAACTAATATGAAACATAGTAAAGCTAGGGTCAACATAATGGAGACCACAGTCCAGACGCTAGGTTCTAGCAGCATCTGTAGAAAGCAGACAACTATTTAGACCTGAGTAGTTGAATGGGAAGCACGACCCGAGCAATGCAGAAGATGCTGTCAGGCAGCCCAGATCTACAGCACTCCCTCTACCTGCTTCCAGGAGGGAAGGACTTGTTTCAGCTGCTGGTAGTGTTGGCAGCTGACAGTGCTCAGCTGAGATTGGGATTGCCTGTGGCTGAGGAGAACTAGGATGCCCAAGGTAGGAGCAGGAGCAACCCATATCCAAAGACAGGTTAATGCAGGGACCTGAAGGTCTGGCCCTTTCGCCCGGCTTGGATCCACTCTGAAGGCCTAGCCCCGTTGCAGAGCATCCTCCTGGATCAGCAAGGCCTTTGTCTGCAGCTTCATCAGAATTCAGCCTCTCCCTCTCCCCTGTCTTACTGCCTGTATTCCTGCACAGGTGTTGCCCAGAGCACCCTGAGTAAACTTCCTGCCTGTGAATCTCTGAGAGTCAGCTTCCTGCACCCAGTGATCTATAAGGTTTCTAGGCAACAGGAAATGCTTCAAAGGCCAGAATTCCTCTCATGGGTGTAGCAGAGAGTAAACAGAGTAGTGTTTTATAGTGGCTACAAAAGAAAGGAACAATGGTGGAGGACTTTGAAAGATAGAATGACCTATCAGCCCTGATGGGTTCCCCCCAGAAAGCTATAGCTGGCCCATGTGACACACATTTTGCCAAGTAGGGATACTGCCGGGACCCCAATGTTCCCTTTGTAAAGTGGGTGTGTAGCCCAGGTATCAGCTCTGATCTTTGCTACTTACTGTGCTCTTCAGCTGCAGTCCTATGAATTGGGCCCTGAAGCTGGAACTGGGAGATTTGATTTTAGGTCTCCCTTGCCAGTGTTGTGGCTTTGTGATTCTAGAACTTGTATTTCTCATTTGAAAAATGGGTGTGCTTTGAGGATTGAAAAGATCCTAATTTCAGGGGCTCTCCATGAGTGTCATGTGACAGGAGGATTTCATGGCCAAATAAGTCTCAGTGGCACTGGGCCAAACTAAATTAAATTGATTTCTGAGGATTTCTCAGTCTTTTATATGTTGTTTTTCCTTCTGAGTTCCTTAAGGAGGGGGTGTAATCCGAATCATCTCAATCCATCAGAAAGACTTCTTGCTACCAGCACCCTCCATGGAGTGTTAATGCCTGGATCTTGCTGGAGTCATATTGAGAAGCCTTGTCCCATCCCATAATGGGCAGTTAATAAATGTCAAATTAGACTCTACTGATTACTATAGTCTGCATTGCCTTAACCTTAAACTAAGTTAGGAGTCTCAGAAATATGCAGAGCTCCCAATGATGCTGGCACTCACGATTAATGTGGTTTTGGTTATTGACATTTGGTGAGGTATAATTTACTTCAAGGATACCTCCAAATCTGTGTTCAAGACATGTATGTTTTAAAGAATGTTATTCTCTCAAGCTTTTAGACTGGGGTGAAATGTGGCTTTCCAAGGTGTACACTCTCCATTGGAATAGTAGTAGCCATCATGTGTTGAAACTTACAGTTGTGGGGATGAAACATGTTGAAAGCATGCGGAAGGTGTATCTGGGCTGTGTGAACAGGAGTGCTGTGATGTATTAGTCATGTCGCCCATTAACAACAGCATTCTCCACCTTCGTTTTAGACCACAGTTACCTTTACTGTACATACTCCTTTACCTTTTGAAGACAGTAGGAGAATAAATTATTTAAACCCTCTCAAGTGCAGTGTGTTCAAAAGTAACTCATAATCATCTCCTCTAATCCTTCTATGCCAGTTCTCTCCATCTCCGATGATGGTGGTGGCCTCCAGGAACACACCCATGGTTCCTCCCTGGTCATCATTTTCCATAACTCATCAGTCACCAAGTTGTGCCAATTTTACCTTCCAAATGTGTCTCAAATTACTCTTCTTTCCATCCCAGATACTACCCGCATTCTTCAAATGCTATTAACTCTCACCTCAACTTCCATGTAGTCTCTCTGCCTCTGGTCCTTTTTATTTATTTATTTGTTTATTTATTTAAGATGGTATCTCACTCTGTTGCCTAGGCTAGAGTGCATGGGTGCCATCTCAGCTCACTGCAATCTCTGCCTCCCAGGTTCAAGGGATTCTCCTTTTTCAGCCTCCCAAGTAGCTGGGATTACAGGTGCATGCCACCATGCCTGGCTAATTTTTGTATTTTTAGTAGAGACAGAGTTTCACCATGTCGGCCAGGCTGCTCTTAAACTTCTGACCTCAAGTGATCCCGCTGCCTCAGCTTCTCAAAGTGGTGAGATTACAGGTGTGAGCCACCTTGCCCAGACTGCCTCTGGTCTTTTTAAAATTTTTTTATTTGTTCATTTTTGAGATGGTGTCTTGCTCTGTCACCCAAGCTGAAGTGCAGTGGTACAATCACGGCTCACTGCAGCCTCAAATTTCTGGACTCAAGGGATCCTCTTGCTTCAGCTTCCAGAGTAGCTAAGACTACAGGCAAATACCACAGCACCTGACTTTTTAAAAATTAATTTTTGTAGAGACAGGGGTCTTGCTTTATTGCCTAGGCTGGTCTCAAACTCCTGACTTCAAGTGATCCTTCTGCCTCAGCATCCCAAAGTGCTGGGATTACAGACAGAAGCCAGCCCGGCCCCTGCCTCTGATCCTGTACCCTTTAAGCCCTTCCACTAACCTACCTACCTGAAAGTCTATTCAAGTGTGTCTCCTTCTCAAACACTGTAATGACTTCCTTAGGATAAAGCCTAACCTAAATTCAGCTTTAAATAACTCCCATATCAGCCCTGCTGATCTCTGGCCTCATTTCTTGCCACTCCCTTATAGTCTAACAAAACCAATCTGCTGATCCGCCTAACTCATCCTGGCTCTAGCTTCCATGCCTTTATTTTTGTGGTTCCCTTGGCCTGAAATGTTTTCTCCATTCTTTCTCTTCCTTGCTCAGGTATTTTCTACTCATCACTGAAACTCAGAGCTCAGACATCACCCATGTCAGAAAATCTTTCCCGACCCCCAGGCCTGATTAGAGCCCTAACCAATTATATATATTGTGCTATAAATAAATAATATAAGTATGATATATAGTATAATTCTTTGTTTATGTGTCTAACTTTGACTTGAGGCTGGGAATGTGTCTTATCGCTGTATTCCTTGTGCCTATTATCATACCTGCATTGATCTCAAGCACTTAAAAATATGTATGGATTAAATGAAGGAATTAAATACCTATGATGAATAAAACTAAGCTAATAGCAGCCCATCAACATCAGAAATATAACCAATACTTAGGTAAAGAATTTTCTTTGCAGACTAAGAATGGTTGCCTTGTATGGCTGGTGAAGTCTGAAGAAAAGCCAGCAATGGGTCGGGGTGTTGGGTGGGGTGTGGCGGGGGTTGGAGGGAGATGCATTGTCAGTGAGAGTAGCACTGAGGAGAGTCTAATGACTTCAGTGTGGTATAAAGCAACATGGACACTGAATTGTATGTGGTTTCCAGTGAAAAAGAACCACTCTGAGTGCTAAGCTGGGTTTAAAGTAGTTTCCTCACTTTTGTGTGGCGACTCTGGGTGTTTGCCCATATTTGTACCTCTGTAGCTGACTTTTTAAAATGCCTGAACTTTGGCATATTTTTCTTCATGGATTACTAAAACAAAAGAATACCTTCTTATACTAATTAGGTTAGATTAAAATTAACCCATGGGACCCTTTGGCAAATTACTGACTAGATTGCTTCATAAATAATAGTTTACTACAGTTTAACACAACAAACATTCACTGTCTCACCATTTCTGATGGTCAGGAATCCCAGAGCTGTTTAGCTGGTGTTTGTGGCACGAAATCTCTCATGAGACTTTAGGCAGAATGTGCACTCATTCATAGGTATTTAATTCTTCCTCATTCACATGGCTGGAGGCTGGAGGCCTCAGTTCCTCACCATGTAGTCTTCTCCATGGGCTGTTGTATGTTTTCATGACATGGCAGATAACTTCCCCCAGTGCTGGTGATCAGAGAGAAAGAAAGAGCATGGGGCATTGGGGGAAGAGGGTGGAGAGAGAGAGAGAGAGAGAGAGAGAGAGAGAAAGAGAGAGAAAGAGATGGATAGATGAAGCTGCCGTGCCTTTTTAAACCTAGTCTTTGTGTTAGCAGGTATGTCATTTCTGCTTTTTGCTTCTGTGGAATAAAGTCACTATGTCCAACCCACACTTAAGGGGAAGGGAATCAAGCTCTCCTTTTCAAGGCAAGAGTATCAAAGAATTATGGACATATTTTAAAACCACCTAACTTCCCCAACCCGTATATATAAATCTTCTGAAGTAAACAAAACAAAAATAGACAGAAAAAAACCCAGCATCACCACTGAAAGTAAATGGCACTGCTCTTTATCTGTTTGACTGTCACTTGCATGTTCTGGTCACCAGTGGCTCCAGTTAAAAAAACATTTCCCCATCCCTAAACTACTTCATAAGGAATGTTTGCATAGCAGAGAAATCTTTACCTTTCAAAGGAATTTATGGGGACTGGAAAGTGTAGAGATAATAATAGTTTGTCCTCTTGATTAAGCCCTGACTGTAGACCAGACAGTATATCTAGGATCTGACTTCCATTCTTTGTACTGTAGGCCAGTAGCATAAGGGAGGCCACCAGGTGGCTGAGCTGGTGGTGCCTGGGGCCTTCCACATATTCTTCTGCAGGTGCTTTCGTCTTCCTGTCACCCTTAGGTGAGGCCTGGCCCTCAGAGAATGAAGGTTAGCACCTAGCCCACTCCTGCATGATATGCCCAGATGCAGGGCAGATGGCTCAGGTAACCAGGTCCTGGGAGCCATGTCTCCCAGAGCCAGTTGATTTTGGCTGGGATTGGCCAGATATTTCTGGCAGTTTTGTAGGGGATCACATAGACATGAATGAAACAAGGTTACCAGGCTCACACACCCGACAACCAGGAGAACCCTGTTGCTGGCTCTTCCCACCGCTCTGACCAAACTCCTGGTGAACATTCTGAAAAAAAGACTTCTGTGGCCCCAAAAGGACAATCCTAAGGTTAATTCTGTAGTTTAAAGTAATTTTGGGGGTAAGGGAGCAGAACCAATTCTAGAATACAGATGTTCTTACAACCCACACCAACCCCACAACCCTACCTTAATCAAACTAAGTATTAGGAACTTATTCCACTTAAGGATAAATCAGACACCAAGCCTAAACAC